GTCAAAATAATACAATAGTACACAAGCATGGTGTTGAGAAAAAATCACCCCAAGACAGTCACAATAGTACTGTTGATCGAGAGAGGGGTTGTGTGTCCTCTCTAATATGATTTTATGTTTGAGGTGACAGTGCATGCACTTATCTGATGTTTCATTGGTTGTGACATTAGCTCAATACATGTGCTGTTGATCAGCTGCTGCATCAAGGCATTAGTGCCATTCTGTTTTTACATAATCACCACAAGCCTGATCATGTGATAATGCAGTGATTGCTACAACTGAGAGTCATTAGAAAGACTCTTTATCTAAAATGCTCTCCATCAAATACCCCTTTCCCCCCCATTAACTGAGATCTGATGCTTTCAGCCAAGGGTTAATTGACCTTGCCTCGGGCCTGATTGAGTGTTAGACTGTTACAAAGACTGCCATTAATCCACAAGAAATCACTGTCAAAATACAGAGCATAATACATTTCTGTGTTTGCAGATGCTATGTCTACAATTTTGGCAGCAAGTAAACTGACTCAGGGTCAGGGGACTGAAACAAACTCTCAGACAGACAGACTGTGTGCCAAACAAGCTCTCAGACAGACAGAATTGACTTCAGAACTGGTAGATGTATGGTATGCCAGAGCAGAACAGCTGATGTAAAATCAGAGCGCAAACTGTGAATGTGGCAAAAGCCCAACTAGAGAACGAGAGCTGCAAACTATGAGCAGTTTTTGTCTTTTAATGTCTGCCGTATACTCTGCACTAATTATGTTGACTTTGAATACGGTGTGTGTGTATGTGTGTGTGTTAGAGAGAAGACACGCTGTTGTCTACTGACACACAGAAGGGCTATTCAGGCCCTGTAGTGGATCTTCTGACAGCTCAACTGGTAGTGGCTTTGTTCTGTTTTTCTCACAGAGATGGTATCTTAGATCAGGAGCATCATGCACCTACTCTTTTCTTTCCTTTTTGAGGGCATCTCAGTTGCAATCCTTGCTTATTTTGAGCCCTAGGCCAGGGGTTTTCAAATGTTTTCATGCCCAGAACCCTAAATATGATGACCTTACTAAAATATATACATTTTAATGTATAAAGCGTCAAGACCAACTGACCAACCATGTGAGAAAAATATAAAGCATGATATTATTAAGGCAACATTTAAAAATAAATAAATAAATAACAGATTTTTTTTTATATTGTCATTGTGCTAAAGAAAATTATTAAAATATTATCTGGAAAATATTTCTCAAAAGTTAATATTTTCTACTGATTATTAGAATAAAGCTAGATGCATGAACCTAATAAAAACAGATTTTGTGTGACTACTGTAATGTGCTGAATCTGAAACCTGACAATCATAATAATGCTGAATGACACAGTAAAAATATCAAATATGTATTAAAAATGGTTGGTTTCTATTGATTTATTCCACAGGATGACAATATAATGAGTTTGGAGTAATGTTTTAGACAAAACATTTTTATTAATATGCAATTATTACATCATCGAATAATTATAAAATATATACATATATATGATAATTAAATAATTACGTATTGATAAAAATGTTGTTTGTATAAAACACTTTGGCTAATTTTCCAAAAGTGTGTCATTTTCCTCAGATCATTTGTTTTAAACAGAAAATTGTCATCAACTGTCACTCCAAACTCATTCAATTAGATTGAAAGAAAAAAATTCAAACAACAATTTTTTAACACATTTTTGATATCATTACTGTTTCATCCAGCATTTTTATTGTTTTCATTTCAAATACAAAAATCAGAGGGGGTAAGTCGAGGGCTGTTTATAGCAGTGTTTGCATTGATGCTAGAGAGATCTGAAATCTGCATAGAATAAAGTCCGATTGTCTGAACAGAGCTAGATATAAATCTAGGTAATGAGCTTCATTGCATTCTCAAGTAATCAGTTTGACTGGGATTAAAGCATAAGAACCTGTTAGGTTAAACCTGGCTCAGAAATACAAGAGAATGAAGTGAAAAACAGTTCAAGACTGGAAACAGATCATGTTCTCTGTAGTTTACACATGCCAGTGGCTGAGCTCTTCTTAAAGGAGTAATTCACCCAACATTTTATTCACTCTTAGGGCATCCAAGATATAAATGAGTTTATTTCTTCACCAGATTTGGAGAAATTTAGCATTACATCACTTGCTCGCCAATGGATCCTCTGCAGTGAATGGGTGCCGCCAGAATGAGAGTCCAAACAGCTGATAAAAACATAACAATAATCCACAACAAGGCTCCAGTCCATCGGTTAACATCTTGGGAAGTAAAAAGCTGCATGTTTGTAATAAACAAATCCATCATTAAAGCATTTTAACTTTAAACCGGACAAAATACAAGGCCATGGTCTATCGTTTGCATTGATGCTAGAGAGATCTGAAATCTGCATAGAATAAAGTCTGATTGTCTGAACAGAGCTAGATATAAATCTAGGTAATGAGCTTCATTGCATTCTCAAGTAATCAGTTTGACTGGGATTAAAGCATAAGAACCTGTTAGGTTAAACCTGGCTCAGAAATACAAGAGAATGAAGTGAAAAACAGTTCAAGACTGGAAACAGATCATGTTCTCTGTAGTTTACACATGCCAGTGGCTGAGCTCTTCTTAAAGGAGTAATTCACCCAACATTTTATTCACTCTTAGGGCATCCAAGATATAAATGAGTTTATTTCTTCACCAGATTTGGAGAAATTTAGCATTACATCACTTGCTCGCCAATGGATCCTCTGCAGTGAATGGGTGCCGCCAGAATGAGAGTCCAAACAGCTGATAAAAACATAACAATAATCCACAACAAGGCTCCAGTCCATCGGTTAACATCTTGGGAAGTAAAAAGCTGCATGTTTGTAATAAACAAATCCATCATTAAAGCATTTTAACTTTAAACCGGACAAAATACAAGGCCATGGTCTATAATAACGCATATTCCAGCGGAAAAAATCTATCCCCTGTTGTGCACACACAAACATTCAGCTTTTCAGATCACAAGACGTTAACTGTTGATTACTTGTGGATTATTGTGACATTTCTAAAAGCTGTTTGGACTCTCATTCTGACGGCACCCATTCACTGCAGAGGATCCATTGGTGAACAAGCGATGTAATGCTAAATTTCTCCAAATCTGTTCCGATACAAAAACAAACTCATCTACATCTTTGATGGCCTGAGGGTGAGCACATTTTTTACAACAAGTTTTAATTTTGGGAGAACCATTTCTTTAATAACTGAAGAATGCACAATTTACTAGACAGGCACCTATTTTGAGAGTCAACTCCAGTATGCAGCTCTTTTGATTATAAAGCATCTCTGTATTGCTTATGCAGGCAAGTCTGTCACAGATGGAGATAAATATTCTGTATCGACGTTGATCAGAAGCAGTAACTAATTCCTGTCTGGCAAGTTTTGGAAAAAGAAACATCTGTTAAATGTCTTACAAATTTCGCTCTTTCATTTTATAAGTACATAAAGATAACGGCTGTCACAGTTCTTTACAAAAAATCTTATTAAGCCTGCTATATAAATTGTATTCACTTTAAAACTCACGATTGAACTGCATCTCTTTCGCAGACCACTCAACCAGAGATTAATGTCCTCCCCAGTCCTACGGAGTGCTTTTATGACAGAGTGCTATGAATATAAAGCTATGGATTAGACAGAATGGAGTTTGGGAGAGGACATTATTTTATCCCCAGAAGAACCGCTTGACTCCATTTCTATTGATTCTTATCTAACCAAATCTAATTTTATATCTTAAAAAGTTTATAGAACATACATTTTCAAGGAGAGCTGCAGTTAAATTTGAGCCTATTAAGTACTTTTGAATTCAGACTTCTAGTTTGGGGATCCAAGTCATTTTAAAACATTCATGCCATGTCCCAAACTCCCAGAGTAAAGAGCACAGCAAAAGACTATTACGTGCAACATTATTTTGCATACACCATGTGTTCAGTTTATCATTGTTTAAACCTAGTTTAATATTGCTCCGGCCTTTCTCTGTCCTTGCAGCCCCAGCTGATAGAAAGCTAACCTAAATGAGAGAGGTCACATAGCACAGTGCCTACAGCAAGAGCAGCTGTAACACATTCATACAGACAGACCTCCCTCAGTCTGTGACTTGAGAGGAACTTCTAATAGAGATTCATAGGAGCTCACTTGAATATAATTAACCCCATTGTAAGGGTCAAACAAGCTGAGATAGTGGCTTTCATTATTGATACTGACAGAATGTCACGGTGTGGACCCAGAATGTATTAATTCTAACATATCATTCATAACCATTCCCAAATATTGTATTGTTTACATGTAAATACCTGTATGCATATGTTATAGCTAGAGTTGTTAATTGGCATATGTTAGTAATTATATTTAAATGTTTTAAAATGATGACCGATATGTAGACACTTTAAATTTGTAGGAAGTTTAAATTTGGGTGACTTTCCAAAGAGGACAGTGGTAATCCAGGCACTAAGTGGGTCAAAGCCATTCCAGATTTTTCCCAAAATAGAATTCCCTGGATATCTATTTTTTCTCTCTCTATTGGAATGCTCAGAAAACCCACAATTTATTGTGTCATGAGTAATGGACTCTTTAAAACAAAGTTGAATTTTCACCAACAAAGTATTAATATAATTGTATATGTCTAAATAAGTTTGGGCAATTTCTGAGAACATTCAGAACATCTATCTATCTATCTATCTATCTATCTATCTATCTATCTATCTATCTATCTATAATCGCCTTTTTGCTTTTGCAATTAGGCTATACAAAGCATTTCAGTACTGATCAAATAATAAAAAAATAGCTTGGGGCCAGACCACTTCATTTTATATGTAAGGAACTCTCTAGCTCGGAGTCTCATGCTGTTATATGCAGCTCTAGCGCTCTCACACGGGTGTGTCTAGTGGGCGGGGTATCGCTGCCAAGCCCCGCCTCCAGCAGTCATACCCAAATGAGCCGGTGGCCTCTGTGTTTTCTCTACACAAAGATACAGAAGCGCACGCCGCGCGAGACGAGCCAGACAGCCGCTGGGATAAACACGAGCTTCTTCTAATACACACAAGAGACATCCAGCCCTCATAGCGGTTTCTCAATCATCAGTTTGTCAAGAGTGTCTGAGGAGAACTTTAAGCTTATTCAGAGGAATTACTGTCTGGACCGTGCGATGCGAACTTCAGCTGTATGTGAAACGCGTGAATGAAGAGCATCTCTACAGTGCACAGAGTCAGTGGTACCCTGAGCACCAAACACCGGACAGGACCTTAATACAGATGGATACCTTCTTTGTTGAGGTAGGTGGAAAAATTGAACACTTCAATGGAACCATCTCTCCCTGTTTCTCCTTTGTGATGGTGCTGCCTTTAAAAGGATGTTGCTGAGCTTACATCAAGTTTTGATCACTTTGCCATATTATACTGTCTTGAATCACCTCATAGCGGTTTCTCAATCATCAGTTTGTCAAGAGTGTCTGAGGAGAACTTTAAGCTTATTCAGAGGAATTACTGTCTGGACCGTGCGATGCGAACTTCAGCTGTATGTGAAACGCGTGAATGAAGAGCATCTCTACAGTGCACAGAGTCAGTGGTACCCTGAGCAACAGACACCGGTCAGGACCTTAATACAGATGGATACCTTCTTTGTTGAGGTAGGTGGAAAAATTGAACACTTCAATGGAACCATCTCTCCCTGTTTCTCCTTTGTGATGGTGCTGCCTTTAAAAGGATGTTGCTGAGCTTACATCAAGTTTTGATCACTTTGCCATATTATACTGTCTTGAATCAAAACATTTAATAAGAATATATCAACTGTATCAATTGTTGCTGCTGTACAGTCCTCTTTTATTTTTATTTATTTATTTTGCTGAATTAGGTAACTATGAAAACATGGTCTATAAAGTGTAAACAGTACTTGTTGTGTTTCATTATTAGGTGTTAAATCTGTTAGGACCCTCTTTCACTTCAGGTGAGAAAAAAATGGGGAGTCCCTTTCACATTCATTACCAGTTCAAAGGTTATTTAACACCGGATCACTGCCTTTGAAGATCACTAGCGCTTGCAGAAAAGCAGTGAACAAAATACCATCTTGATCCAGAGTAAAATGATCATAAATGTGCCAGTGAAGACCCCCAGGGTGTGTTTCATGCCTCCCTCTGTCTGCTTTGCTCTTCAGTCTCTGTGTCAGCATGAGAACCAACCTGCTGGCAATGAAAACTCAGACCTCACACACAATGCACTTACCCTCTGCAGCAGTATTAAATACCTAGATACTTATATAGCATTTGGATAGCCGTATAAACCCCCTTCCAATATTTCAGACCACCATAGAGTAGAGTTGGTAGACAAAATAAATACATTTAAAAACCCCATACCCTAGTTGTAGTCAGGGTTAACCAGTTACTTTTTGCACTGCATTTGTTATTCTCTCTTAACTTTGGTGGTCTAAAGGTTTTAAAGGGTCTAATTAAAGAATAGTTCTTTCTACCTCAGCTGTACATAGGCAGCTGTTTTCCACACAACCCTTTTACTTTATCATACAGTCATATACACTGTATGTTGTATTGTGACATATGAAGTCACAAAATCGGGCTTTCATAGCAGAGCATTGGAGGACAACAGCAGGCCTAAATGGGAAGAGTAATTAAATCTGTCTGGGATGGAGGACAGAAAGGGTCTGAGACACATCTAAGATTAAGAGCTTGGATCCACATGCATGGATGCAGCCGGAATGACTAGGCTTAGAAGTAGCAACGCAAACATTCCATGATTATTTATAGACATGGTCTGCTGTCAGGAGGAAGTTCCCATGTTTTGGCCCATGCAGCGGCCAGTGTGGCTTTAATTAATCTAAAATATTGAAAGCATTTTAATTCAGATCTACATCAGAATTACTGAGACATGAGTTAAAAGTATGGTTTGGAATTATTAAAACAATGTGTCTGATAATCAGGATGGATTTTTCTGAGCTTTGACCTTAAGATTCTTCACTTTGCTTGTATGATTTGTTATTCAGGGTTAAGCTAACATTCCCGCTGTTAAGTTTCACTGATATGTCAAAGCATTGCCTTCCTTCCCATATGAATCCACGCTTGGGACAAGGCATAATGATATTGCCAAATCCCTAGCTTCCTCTCCAAGTGGTGTTCTCCCTCAGACAAGCCCTCATCCTTCCTCTGCCAGCTGCTGAGTCACTAGACTATTGAACACTCATACTGCTGGAGCTTACCTGTCCATGCCTACTGATCCTTATGACTAAGTTTGGTTGTTCCCAGACAGACTAGTGGGTTCGACCACATGGAGAGATTTATGAAGCATGGGCTTCCCGTTCCGCTCAACACTCCCACTTGTGATAATCTCATCAAGGCTTTAAAGTGAGAGTTAACCCTGTGTTCTCCTAGAACAGTATATATAGGGTGTTTTAGAAACATAAATTAGAAAGTCATTAAAAATGTATAAAAAATTTACTTAACTGGGTAATTTAACTTTTATGTTTACAGTGTTATGGATAGTTCAGCTGAACAATTTCAGCTATTTCAGCTACTCTTGCATACTTTTTGGCCATGCTGAAGTGCAGTGAACTACCGACATGTTTACCTGTTGTAGCGTATCCATGTTATGTGCATGAAATAGACGCTGACACAGTCAAAATGTGTAACTTGAGAAGTGCTAAATGTTTCAGTCAATGATTTCAGCCCTCGAAAACTATTTCATTAGAAACCGTTTCAGCTGGATATTTTCAGTTGCCCATGTTACTGTGAAAGTTTGAATTCTGCTATGTACTTTTTTAACACCACATTTATGGAAGCTTCGCCTTTATTGTATTTCAAATTATTTCTTATATAAGTTAAAAATATAGTGCCTTGTACATGAATAATTCATAGGTGCGTTGGATAAAAGTCCATTATATGTTTGAAAAATTATACATCCTGCACATTAATCAAGCTTCTGTCAGGACCACTATCGTCAAAAT